CAGAGAAATTAATGCCAGTTTCTCTTAAGAGACACCCTACTGTAGGGGCACCTGGTTGGCTCAGTAGGTTAAGTGTCTACCTTCAGCTCAAGTCATGATCCCAGGGTCCTGGGATTGAGCCCGGCATGAAGCCTGCATTGAGCCCTGCATGGGCTCCCTGCTTCTCCTGCTCCCCCTGCTTGTGCGCTCTCTCTCTGTTTAATAAATAAATCAATCTTAAAAAAACAAAACTAACACCCTACTATACATTAATAGAATTATGTATGAGACAGAAGCAGCACAAGGGAGGACATGATTAACTTGGCAAGAGGTGGGGGGTGGGGAACATGATCAGAAAAGACAGGTTGGAGTAGGAGACCATCAAAATTTCATTTTAAAGGATGAACTGAGTTGAGAGTGAGGATGTTAGGATAGGAAGGGATTGGTATTTCAGGCAGAAGGAATAGAATATTCTAGGGAAGACCACGGAGGGGAATAGCAGTGTGCATTTATCTCCTAGGGCAGAGGTGGAATACATCTATTCCAGGGGAGTAGTGTCAGGATAGGAATTCAGAGAGGTAGGCAGGGCCGATATCATAACTGGCTTTGTGTAAGATGCTAAGAATCTTGGAGTTTACCTTGGTGATGAGGATCTAGTGAGAAATTATTCATTTGCCTCTTATTGTCTTCCCTGACAAGAATGCTCCACTTCTGTGCTCCTGCCCTCAGGTAAATAATATTGTCCTCTCTGGCGCTCAACCAGGAAATCTCAGAGTGGATTTAAATTTTCCTTCCCATTAAAGAACAATCTCACCATTCCCATCCAACTGGAATCCACAAAGTGCTTTCTTTCCTGCTTGCGCTGTGCTGCTTGACTCAGGTGTTTACAATCTTTCACCTAGATTATTTCAAGAGTGTCCAGACTGGTCTCTCTGCTTGATATTTCTTCCTTCAATCCATCCTACACATTGCCACTGGCACAGTCTCTTTAAATAAAAGTTGAGGTCACTACTCTTCCTCCAAACCTGGACTCCTCCCTCCTACATGCAGAATAAAATCTCACCGGGCTAACTGGGTGTTTTAGATCTTTCAAAAATTGACCTCCACTAAACATTTCAAACTTTTGTCTCGTTTCACACCCCTTCATGAGCCTCCATCCAACACCATACTTAATCATCTTGCTTTGTACCTTCTTGTGTCTGTATATTTGCTCCTGTTATTTTTCCTAAAGCCCCTTTCTTCCATCTATTTTTTGAGGCTTGACCCAAATCACATCAGTTGCATAACACATTACCCTCAAATTTAGTGGCTTAAAACAATGGTAAACATTTATTGTCTCCCAAAGTTTTTATGAGTAAGGAATTTAGGAGAATCTTGGCGGAACGTTCTGGCTCGGGATCTTCATAAGTTTGCATTCATCCGTGGGGATGGACAATCTGCTTCCAAGGCTGGTAAGTAGGTGTTGGCTCTTTCTGGGAATCCTCAATGCTTCTCAAGGACTGTTTGAGGGCACTTTGTGACAGCTGGCTTCCCCAAAAGCAAGCAATCCAAGAGACCAAGGTGGAAGCCATAGTGCCCTTAATGATCTGGTCTCAGAAGTCACATATTGTCACCTTCACCACACTCTTTTGGTCACACAGACCAATCCTGACATGAGGGAGATTGCATAGGGGATGAGTACCAGAAAGTGAGGATCACTGGGGACAATGCTGGAGGCTGGCTAGCACAACATCTCTTCAAGAGGCTTTCTAGATTCCCCATGGGCCCCTCTCCTCTCTGTCCTCTGTCCTGTGCATACCAAATTGCCTAATTATTGAATGAGATTTAAAAATCAGAGCTTTAGGATATCTTCCAATAAAAACAACACTTTCTTAATTATTAACTATTATTGTGAATCTGAAAATTTGTTTTGGTTAATTATCAAAGGGCATAGTGCTGAGGAACTTTGTTCTCTAAAATCTTAAGTTGTCAGAAACTCTGTTGTTTTGGAACTCATATTAGTGAGACAGAACATATCTTTCTTACCTGGGAGATGTAAACCATCCAAATAAATCACGTTAACTTGGAGAAGCAGCCTCAATTTACAGTGCAGAGGTTCAGATAAGGGGTTTTTGGACACAATATTCTACATTAATGTTAAATTTATATTTTCAAGGGACTAGAACCCAGAGGATGCTTCTCAACTCAGATCTGATATTAACCCCTTACAGATCTGATTTGCTCTGAGCTTATTAAATACTGTTTCATTTAGATTCTACCTAAACTCCTCCCTTCTTCTAATACTACAATGACCCCCATTTCTTCCCTTTTTTTGGAGATATGCCCATAATTCCTCCGCTGTGTGGTATCCTTTCTGTAGCAAGTTAATAACTTAACTTTGCTGGGTTACAGTTTTGTCCTTAGTGGTCTTTTCCTGATGGACTTTATGAACAGCTAAAATTATTTGAACTCACATTAACTAAGTTCATTTTTTTAGAATCACCCATGCTTCTTGAACATGGGTGCCTCTTACTTTTTTATTTTTATTTTTTATTTAAATTCAATTAATTAACATATAGTGTATTATTAATTTCAGAGGTAAAGTTCAGTGATTTATCAGTCTTATATAACACCCAGTGCTCATTACATCACGTGCCCTCTTAATGTCCATCACTCAGTTACCCCATGCCCCCCCCACCCCTCCAGCAACCCTCAGTTTGTTTCCTATGAGTCTCTTATGGTTTGTCTCCCTCCCTGATTTTGTCTTGTTTTATTTTTTCCTCTTTTCCCTTACACCTCTGTTTTGTTTCTTAAATTCCACACGAGTGAAATCATATGATACTTGTCTTTCTCTGATTGACTTATTTTGCTAAGCATAATACCCTCTAGTTCTATCCACGTTGTTGCAAATGGCAAGATATCATTTTTTTGATGGCTGAGTAATGTTCCATTCTGTATATATACCACACCTTTATCCATCTTTATCTGTTGATGGACATCTGGGCTCTTTCCATAGTTTGGCTATTGTGGACATAGCTGCTATAAATAGCGGGGTGCAGGTGCCTTTTAGAATATCTTGCCTAATGGGTCATTCTTACTCTCCTCTGAACTGTACTCTATTTCCTAAATATATCTCTCCTCTAACCTTGCATGCTCTTGCTTCATTGTTACAAACTCCAAGATGATACACTTTCTCCTAACACTTTTACATTACTATGCAATTTATTGGTGAATTAGTAATTTTCTCTCTTGTCCTCCTGCACAGCTCTTTCTCTGGTCTTTTAGGCTTTAGCTACAAAAACATTTTCTGTCGAGCCCTAATAGAAAGTTCTAGACAGGGGCGCCTGGGTGGCTCAGTCATTTATGCATCTGCTTTCAGCTCAGGTCATGGTCTCAGGGTCCTGGGATCCAGCCCAGCATTGGGCCCCCTGCTCAGTGGAGAGTCTGCTTCTCCTTCTGCCTCTGCCCCTCCCCCCTACTTATACACACACTCTCTCTCTCTCATGTTCTCTGTCTCTCTCTCTCAATAAATAAAATCTTAAAAAAGTTCTAGACAAAACTAAGCATTTTTTTGTGCTGTCATAGTACAAAAGGTGTTCATACCTCTAATGTGACACTTAACATATTTATAACTTTTTTTTTTCATATTTTTCCTCCTCTACCCACCTTTGGAGAGCAGAGATTGTCATCTGTTTTTATCTTTGTATCCTTGGTGCATACCAAATTGCCTAACTGTTGAAGGAGGTAATGAAAATATCTATGTGGTAAGCAGAGAATTTAGTAGAAGCTCTACTTTAGCAAAATTTACACAATTGAACACCTCGACACATACATACACAGCTTGTTTCTTGTTATCTGTATTAGGCAACTCCCAGTTTATATTGAGTAAAAACCTGGGAAAACGACTGTTTGTGGGCTACTTTAACATGAATGTGTATTATGCAAAGTTTTATGTACTTACTTTCTGACTGATACTCTTTCCTCCAGTTTCTCCAAGTGAGGACTTGGGGGATCACTACATTACTGTACATATGCCAGTCTAAAAGCTAGGGATACCGATTTCTGCAGTATAGGGCCAGCCAGAAGAATGCTCTAATCTGTAATGCCCTTCTGATTCTGGGAGTAAGGCCAGCATTCACACAATGCATGATTGTTATTTCTGAATGTCCCCTTGCAAAGAACAGTGTTTCTCAAACTTTCTGTTTGATCAGAGCCACATTAAAGAAACACACTCCATATCACTGCTCGGGACACATGGACACAAAACTGAAATAAAAATTTCTCATAACTTGTTTACACGTGACGCACTCTGAGTTTTCTATTGTCTTCCGTTAACCGATTTCTCTCTCTCTCTCTCTCTCTCTCTCACACACACAGTGGTGGTCTCAATCTACCAAACTCACTCCACAATCCCCTAGAGATTATAACCCATGGTTTAGAAAAACCCTGGCTTGGAAAAAGGTCTTCGATTTGTATAGTCATTCTTCCCACATTTCCCTACACCTCTTCGGAGTTTCCAACAGATATTTTCGTCTAAATAATCACTGTGCCTTCAGTTTTGTATAAATGATCTATGATGGGGCCATTCCCCTTCTTCCTGCGCTCCTTTAAGAGGGTGGTAACGGCACTTCACGGTGCGGGGGAGGCGGCAGGCGGAGTAGCAGGTCCCACTAGGTCCCGGTGCAGGGTAGGCCTGCTCTTCCAGTTCTTGTGAGAGCTTGAGTGGGTGTGCAGGCGCGAAGGTGTGAGTAGGGGTGAGACAGGGGCAGCAAACGAACGAGCGCCAGAGAAAGGATCAGCGGCATCTTGGCGCGGGCAATCCGGGTGACCCTGCGGAGATCCGCGCGTGCGCAGAGAGCATCCCAGGCCTGTTCCGGCCTTCGTGGCGCCCGCGCGCGCTCCCCCCGAGCTGAAGTCCGTGGTGGGCAACGGCGCGCGGACGACGCGGCGGCGCGCGCCAGGGGGCGGTCCTGCGCTGCCTGCACCGCCCTCCCTCGGCTCGCTCTTCTCCTCCCAGTCTCCCCCGCGCTTCCTGCACTGGGGGTTGTCGACGCCGCCGCTGACCTGCTCCCGGCTCGCTCGTGCTGGCGGTTCCATGGCGGCCTTCAGCAAGTACTTGACGGCGCGAAACTCCACGCTGGCCGGGGCCGCGCTTCTGCTGCTCTGCCTGCTCCATAAGAGGCGCCGCGCCCTCGGCCTGCACGGGTAAGAAGGCCCTTGGCCGCGCTGCCTTTCCCGGGCCCGAGCGGGCGCGTCCCGCGCGCTCTCCCTCTCGCCAGGCGCCCGGAGGACGGGTCCCTTGGCCCGGCTGGGTCAAGGGTAGAGAAGGTCCCCGCTGCCGCCAGGCTCTAACGTCAAGGTGTCTGGTTTTCCCCGTGGCGCCGTCATCCCCAGTTTTCCCTGCTCCCAGTACTCTGCCCCCGGCAATGTCTCTTTCCCCCACACCCGCTAGGAAACCTGTGCCTCCTGCCCCCAGGCCTCGTCTCTAGTGCTCCCTACGCCCTACTCTGACTCCGGGAGCGTGAATCTTTGACCAGCGCACTAGCAATCCTGAGCCTCTGCCCCGAGGCTGTCGCCCCCAGCCCACCTCCTGTATCAACTTTCTGGGTATGTTCTAGTTTTGTCATCTCATCTCCTGAGAGACCGTGGGTTTGCTTTGTGGACGTGTATGTGTGATTTGAGGCTGAGGATTGGACTCGCCAGGATGGAGGCTGTTGCCTCAGTCGCTTGGATGGGGTTTGGCATGATTCCCTAGTAGTTGCTGTTCAAAGCCGTGAGGATTGTACATGTGAACGCTCGTGGGTCCATTTGGTAAGATTGCTTTCTAAAGTGGTGTTCCCTCGGAGTTGGTCAGTGAACTCCCTGACATTTCACCTGGAAAGGCTGAATTTGGAGAGCAAGGTTCCCTCCCTTGGCTGTTCAGGTGGAAGGTTAAAGTGTGATTTAGCTGAGGATCAAGATCCTCTTCTTTCTCCTCGAGAGAATCTTAATGTTTAGCTTTAACTTTGGGCGATTATAAGATTAGAGGAAGGAAAAGAGAGAATTGAGTTACTGTTGTGGGATTAAGACATAATATTTTATTCTCTGGGAGACACTTGGCTTCAGCAAACGAATTAGGAAAGGTTACTTCCCTAGCATTCTTGCCAGTCATTGGATATTCCATATTAAATCTTGGCATACTGCTTCCATGTATTTTATTTAATTCATCTCTCTGGGCAGGTACTGTTGCCTCTTGTTTTTGTTTTGCTTGAAATATCTGATTAGTAGTAGACTTTGGAGTAAATCACTAACAAGCGGCCTTCCATCCATGAAATGCTTACTAACCTTCTCCTGTCTTATCTTACTAAGGTCTGAAGTGGTGGTCTTTCTTTTCCTTTCTCAATTCGATTAACTGAGTTGAAAATGATTTGCATCTTTGTCCAGACAATACAGTACCAATTCACTTTTCTTCTATTCAGTTAGCTTTTAAAATGATTTCTTCTGGAAAATACAAACATTTTTTTTTCCTATTGTGTGCTTTCTGAGCTCCCAGTTGCAAATGGAAGTTATTTGTTATCTGGGAATATGTCAGAAAATGTTAAATGCTATAAAATAACTTTGAGTTACTTTTTATTAGAGAAATGCTTCAGTGCATAGAACAGGTGTTTTAGTATGAGGTAGGGGATTTGAGGGCAGCTCTAACAGCTGTGGCTTACTTTGTTTTATCAGAGTATTACATGTGTAATATGGAATTTAGAAAAGTACATATTAAGTGTAGAGCTTGAAGAATTTTTACAGATAGAACTCACCCATGTAATCAGCACACAGATCTGCACCCATACAAGAACATTATCAGAAACTCTTCATGTCCCTTCCAGTCACAGTTTAGATAGCTAGTGATTTATAAGGCTGTAGATTATTGTAAGGAAAGTTTTAAATATCATCTGAGAAATAGCATTAACAGTGTAAAGGAAATTGTCTTACTAAATTTTAGGTGTTTTTTCATTTACATTTTATTGTAAAATGCTTTGGAAGTCTTTTTGAGAAATTTAGTACTTTTTGAGGGATTAAGTTATGCAACAACTAATTTACTGAACAAAAGATTGTTAACCTTGTGCATTGGCATGAATAAGGAAAACCTTTATTTTCCCCATTAAATATTTTGTGGGAGGAGAAGGCAAATTAAGAGCAGATAAGCATAAAGTTTAAATTACTGAGATAAAATAATTGAATTATTTTAAAACCATCAAGAATGGTGTTGAGTCTGTTTTTGTAGATGTTGTATTTCCAGAAACTTTTGGATATCTTTGAAATGCTATCGTTGGCTGCACAGTTTGAAGATTAGGAGATTAGAAAATTCTAACTTTATATCTTACTGGCTTTTTGGGTATCGTTTTTACAGGGCTAATTTTCCTATCTGGTGCTTAATTAAGGAACCTATGGCTGCTTGGCCTTTTTTCATCTATGCTATGAACAATAGATTTTTCTTAGAAGATATTCCTTAGAATCAACTAGGTAATAGAACTAGTAAAACCACTTTAAAAGTTACAATGTCACATTATACCAAACATTAGAATAAATAATTTAATTTTCTGAGTTATTTTTTAGTTTTGTTAATGCATTTTTTTCAAAGTGAGCAGAATAATATAATGAACCATCTATACGCTTTACTGAAGAAGTGCCATCAACATTTTGCTATTCATGTTTCATCTATAGCCCCTTGCTCCCACCCCTTATTTTTACAGGTTTTTAGGTAAATTTATATATATTTAACGGTATAAATCTTGGTTATACATTTTTTAAGTAAATGCAGTACAACAGTGTAACACACCCCTATCATAAATTAGAACATTTTCATCTTAGAAAGTTGCCTTGTGTTCATTTCCTACTACGTATACTAACTTTTTTCCCCTTAATTTTAAATCATGCATTTTAAAATCATACATTTTATTTTATTTATTATTTATGGAGAATAGTGGAATCTGTACTCATGGATAAAGGAGACCATCTATTCAGTTCAAAGGAAGTATCTGTTTCAAAATGTTGTATTACTGCCCTAGGTGCTATGGGATAGAGGGGTGTGTGTGTGTGTGTGTGTGTGTATTACACATACATTAAAAAATATGACATCTTTTCATAGGGAGCTTACATTCTTGTTAGGAAGAAGAAATTTAAATGCAAATTAGTTAAAATTTTAAGGTGGTGACAAATGCAGTATACAGACAGACATGCCTTTGAAGTTCTGAGAAAGGAAAGATTAATGTGTTTGGGAAGAGTTAAGGAGGGCTTTTTGAAGAATATGAGCTAAGCCTAGAAAAGGGGTAGGAGTGGATAACTGCAGATAAATTGAATGTTAATAGCAGCCTTTATCAGATTTTTGTTGCATTTTGTGGTAGGAAGAAGCTTTGTGGAACCCTTTCAATCCATCTTCCACTGCCCCCAGCGCTCTTTTTAAGAAACAATTATGATCTTGTTATTCCTTCATTAAAGTCTTTTGGTTATTCTAAAACACAAAATTCTTAGCACGAGAAAATCGTGTTCATGATCTGGTCCTTTACTACTTCTCCTACTCATCCAGCCATATGGAGTAACAGTCTGAGTATGACAGGCTTTGCTCAGCCTTTGCTGTCTGATTACTGTCATCCCCAACACTTCTCCCCACCTTTTGGTATTTATTTTCTTCCAAAACTCAGTTCAGTTAACGCTTTCTCTTAGGTGTTTTCTGTCTTTTCCCGATTTCCAAACTGATGTTGTCCTTTGCTCTCATGATATGCTAAGCATTACTTCACTAGTTAGCACTCTGTATTGTACTAGTTTATTTTCTTGGCTTCTGCCTACATCAGAGTGAGTTTCTTGAGGGATGTACTGCGTCATGTATAAATTACTAGTTTGCACATGTCACGGGATAGACACTAAGTGTTGTATGGGGTGGGCAAATTATGTAGGATAGTTGAAGAACTTTTAAGGTTAAGGGTAATTGTCTGACAGTTGGGGATGTAGGACCAGTACAAACATGAATAGAGGCATTAGGTTATAGAGGTGATAGTTGTATATGAGAGTATGTAACATGGGCAGGGTATTAGGAATTATAGGCCAGTTTTAGAGGGCAAAGAGACCAGTCTGCACTGCCGTAGAATTTTATAGTCTTAAACCAAACACGAGAAACAAAAACAGAACAAAGCAGTTTCTTTCCCTTCCCATGAAGTTTGTCAAGTTCAGATTTCTCGTCCCTCACCTGGTCTCACCTTACCTGGCTAATCTTATATGCCTTTGCCTGCCAATGAGCATGCTCTGTTCCAGATAGACCAGTTTTGCACTGTTCTCTGAACAGGCCACATTCATCCCAGACTTTGGAGTGTTATTCATATTAACCAAACCTGGAATCTCTGTCCTTATATTTTCTGTTCTTCAGCTCTTATCCTTTAAGGGATAGGTGAGAGTCATCTATTCCATGAAGTTATCATTTAACAACTCTGGATGATCTGAGTAATGATCCTTTTTAACTTCCTGAAGCATGAATTTAGGTACCTTATTTTTATTTTTTATTTTTTTGGATCAAACCATTTTATTGAGGGGCCTGGGCAAAAGGTCAACAGGCTGGGAAGATCGTGAGATTTGACGTCCTTAGCCCGGCTGGGATCTCTCCAGCTTCACAGTTGTCAAAAGCTTAGGTACCTTTGTTTTATGTCTTAATTGCTTGATTGGGTATGACCTAGTTGTCAGCTATCAGGGTGTAGCCAAGTACCCCAGCTTATGGAGTGATCCTTTATCCTTTTCAAAGCCCACTCTGTAGATGGTGGGAACACAGTTTCCTCCCCTAAATATTTCTGAGGAGTTTCAGGGAGCTTTTAGTTTTCTTAGTTACACCTTATTTAAAATTTTGCCTCTCTCTGTTTTATTTTATTTATTTATTTTAAAATTTTTAATATATATATTTTGGTTTTTTTATTTTTTCAGTTTATTTTTTTAAAAGATTTTATTTGTAAGTAATCTCTACATCCAGTGTGGGGCTTGGACTCACAACGTGGACATCAAGAGTCGCATGCTCTTCCAACTGAGCCAGCCATGGGTCCCTAATATAAATATATATTTTAAATTGAAGTATAGTTGACATACAGTGTTATATTAGTTGCAGGTGTACAACATAGTGATTCTACAAGTTTATTAGTTATGCTATACTCATCACAAGTCTAGCTCCCATCTGTCACCATACAAATGTTATTACA